TTCGTTTATATAAAAAATATTTAATATTGTAGGGATTAAATAGATATTTTCGTTACTTAGATACTTTTAAACTGTAGGATAAATCGATATAACCTTTATAAATAGTTAGATTAGAGGCTCCGACCTTATATTAATTACGTTTAAAATAATTAATTTGAATTATTATTTATAATGGATTTTGTTTAAAATAGGCTCTTATACGAAAGCATAAAGCTTTAACTATACGAAATAATATTTGGGTTTCTAATGCCCGCCTTTTTAAATTAGAAGACCTTTATATCCTTAGAGGACCTTCCTATAATGGAATAATTATTAAAATAAAATATTAAAGAGGCTACCTTCTGGATTTAAAAATATATTACTTAAGTGAGGGAGGCTATTATTTAAGTATAATGTAAATAGGTGGTATAAACTAATAGGTATAAGAGAATTCCGGATTCTAAAGTTAGTAATAGGGTATTTATTATTAAGAAGAATTGGTCGACAGAGGGTTGCCCTAATAATAAATTTAATTTCCCAAAGATAAAATAACCCTTCAAAATTATAAGCCGGGTGGGTACTGCGTTTATATTAGCGTTAACGGATATTTAGCGTATATCGAACCAATTTTCCTTCGACCGCTTATAGAAATACCTAGATAATTTATTACCGGGATAAATATTAGAGAACCCGCCGGAAGAAGTTATTTATAATAGTGAAGAAGAGTAGAAAGTCGATTATATCGTAGCCGCCCGTTTATATTATAGTAAATTTCAATATTAAATATAATAGAAAAGTTAAGACCCTAAATTTAAATAGTAGCCGGCTAAGGATTTTAAAAATATTATTAGGAAAGTAAAGGAGTACTATAACGCGAACCTTTCGGCTCCGGGTCTCCCTAAGCAATTAATATTATAGATAGAGATAGCCGAGAAGGACGAATTTTTAGAGGGTTATAATAATAATAATTTACTTAAGTAAAAGGGCGTAAAGAGGAGGCTAGGAAGGAGGAAATGAGGCTATGTGTATGGAAGGGAAGATTATGTACGGCTATTATAATAAGCGTTTCAATTAAAGGTCCCATTAATAATTAACCGACGATTAGAACGTTAATATACTTAAGTAAGGGTATATAGGGACTCTTTTTCTGTTGTATAGCGGTTACTCAACGGTTTGCTTATATCAACCGTATTGCAACGGGTATATTATATCAACCGTCGTACAACCGTAAGGTCCTCTACAACCGTTATATCGTATATAACTACAGTAAATTATAAATATTCCCCATATTAATTTAGGTAGGAGGTATATTACTTAGGGGTAGAATTCATACAGGCGCTCGGAGGTTTTCATTTTCACGTTTAAGCAATCACAAAGCAATTACGAAATTAACGGTCCTTGCGTCGCAACGCTACAACAATACTACCAAGACCGCTCCGATTGCGCCAAATCAATACAATTAAAAAAGGCACTACATATTCACAATCGCACTCCTCGTGCTCTTACCAATTAAAGCCATCAAAACAACCACTTTAGCAGCCTTAGACCGTATACTCTAGAGGTTAAAACCCCTATCAATCAACCAACACCCCTATCAATGATTTAGCAATATAAAATAACAATAATAATAACAATAACAATAACAATAACAATAACAATAACAATAACAATAACAATAATAATAATAATAATAATAATAATAATAATAATAATAATAATAATAATAATAATAATAATAATAATAATAATAATAATAATAATAATAATAATAATAATAATAATAATAATAATAATAATAATAATAATAATAATAATAATAATAATAATAATAATAATAATAATAATAATAATAATAATAATAATAATAATAATAATAATAATAATAATAATAATAATAATAATAATAATAATAATAATAATAATAATAATAATAATAATAATAATAATAATAATAATAATACTTCGGTCAGTAATAATATAATTATTATTAACTATAGTACTTATCCATAGCCTGGCGGTAATGTATCGAGGTAATAATACATCGAGGTAGCTTCGAAAATCTTCTCCCGACGCGCCCTCTATAGATAGCAACGATATCGATGAAGCGGCTAGCGGCGACGGTTATTTCTTAGTCGTAGAAGTCCGGGCCGGATAAAGTTAAATTGGCTGCGAACTTCTCGATTTAGGTATCGTAGGCAGCAAAAAGCTCGGTCAAGCACTAATATTAACCCAACCGCTATATAACGAATTGGAGGGCTCAATACGCCTTTCGGATACCGGCGAACTTAGGAAGAGTTTCCTCGGTCCTCTATTACGAAATACTAACCTCGCATCAGTATTATTTCCGTACGTAACGGTCGCTTCTACGCCGAATAAGAGGGAACTAAATAATATACTCATCCCAATTTCCCGCTAGTAGCCTAGGGAATACCGGAATTCGACAATGGCCTACCGCACTCCGTAGTCCTCTACGCCGCTACGGTTACCTCGGGAAGAACTATCTCTAGAAGAGCTATCTCTAGAAGAACTATCTCTAGAAGAGCCACCTCGGTCTTCTATTACAAAACGTTAGTCACCAATCTTCTTAATCTTATACGCCGCAATAAAGGCTTTAGGAAGAACTACCTCAGTCCTCTATTACGAAACATTAACCTCGCGATCCTCCGAAGCGGGATCCCTCTTAATAATCCGTAGATAGCGCTCATAGAATTATAACATCTAATAAACGGTATTAATTAGGACTCTTGAAACCTATATATAAAAAAAAGTAGAATATACTGTTGAAAGTCCGTGCCCTGGGCCGCCCATTCACTGGCCTCGCCCATTCACCGGCACTCCCTTCCAGGTATTTAGGCTGCCCTAGTTTCCGTTTCTCCTCTTCCATTAGACAACAACAATCAAGCCCTTTTTCGTTGTCGCCTTTTCCAGCCCACCGATATATACCTTTTAAGGGCACCTCTTATATATAACGTCGGTTATATACTAAGTCTTATAACCATTCTTACACGTCAAATATACTATAAACTTATATATATCCTCGTCTTCGCAGGCATCAGATTGCGCAATATACATCCACATCATACTACTAGGATCGTAAATTCAAGTCGGACGGCCATTCGGAAAAAATAACGGTAGCGCTCGAAGATACGTTTCTCGGCTACTTTATTACGCTAGAGGGTATCTTCGTCTTTGGTAAAAATGCGCTAAGTTTCGAAGTAAGGACCCTAAATTCTTAGAGCGAAGAGGAAGAAGTCCACTATATCCGAGAAAGAAGGGGAAATATCGAAATCGGCCAATTAGCACTAAATTTCAACGAACTCCTATCTCTTATCCTACTCGGACCTCTTCTCGGATACAATTTTATTTCTCGAATGTCCGAAAATTTCGCTTAATACTATAAAACGGCTTCGGCTTTTTTAAAAACAGCGCGATCGTACTACTTTTCAAAATCGGACAACTAACATTATACTATAGGAGGTAAAATATAATACAATAATACTACACTCTAATCGAAGCGGGGGGCGTAATTACAAACTATAAAATATAATAAGGTGTAATGTGAATAACAATCCGTAAATAAACTAATTTCAATTTAAAAAGGTTGTAAACGCCTTATCCCGCAATTACTTTTTACTATTAAACGTAGTAGGGTAAATTAAAAAAAGCTAATAGCTATTCTTCTTCGACCGTTTATTACTATTTACTTCGGGGGGTACCGGCCATACTTCTCAATCTTCTATACCGTAATAAAAACTTCGAAAATCTTCTCCCGATTACCAATCTTCATAAAATACTCTTTAAACCTCTAAGATATAAAAATATAAATATATTAAAAAAGAGAGAATTTAAAGGTCGAAAAAGGCGGGGGGAGGGGGATTCTTATACTTTTCTAAGGAAGCCGCTAACAAATGCCAAAAATTTCCACCAATCGCTAAGAATTTCGCTACCAACCGTATTAACGTTAAGAGGCGGGCTATTACCTATTATATATTTATTATTATCGTCCCAACTATTTATTTAACGGTAGATAGGTAGTAATAAAGGTAGTAAACATATTAAAATAGAAAGGGTAGCGGGTAATAAAAATACTAGTAAAAGCGCTAGTAAAAGTATTAAAATAGAAAAGGTAACGGGTAATAAAAGTACTAGTAAAAGCGCTAGTAAAGGTATTGAAATAGAACTATCACCTTCCTCGTCGTCCTTACTGCCCTCCTTAATAATATTACTATTTTACTCCTCGTCTTCGAAATGTTTAGGCTCCGGGATAGTATACTTAACGGACTTCTTATCTTACGATTACTTCTTACTATTAAAAATCGCCGAACGAATATTAAACTCAATATCGGAGGCGACCTCCTTATAATTAAAAGCCGATAAATCGTAAAATATTATTATATTATTTAATTAAATAAATTTACGTAAATATTAAAGAATATATTATTGCGCCGTAATTAAATTCTTAGAGCGAAGAGGAGGTCTACCGTTAAATTCGGGAAAGAAAGGGAAATTTCCTAAACCTAAGGTACTCTGTATAGTAATAGTAATCGAAAGTAACATAATTATACGGTTACTATTTTATATTATAGAACGAAAAGTTCGGTTAAGTATTAATATTAACCTAATTATTATGTACCGAATTAAAATAAATAAGAAGTTTAAATTAAAGGACCAATTATACTTTAAATAAAAGTATTTAAAGCGCCGGACAACCGGTTCGGACGGTTATTAAAAGGAAGTAATAGTAATACTCTACGTTTCCCGGCTACCTTATTACGCTAGAAAATATCTTTATCTTTATTGAAAATATATTAGGTTTCGAAATTATAAATCAAGTTAAATTAATTATAATATTAATCGATTACAAGACGTTAGCCTCGCAAACTTCGCAATCCTTCCGAATTAAGATCCCTTTTAATAACTTATATCTTATTAATAATAGGGGTAGTATTATCGGATATATTTTTATTAATATTATATAAGCATTTTAGACAACGTTAAAAGGGTTAATAGCAGGATACCTTCTACTCGCAAATACTTTTTACTCTTCTCAAACTCGGAAATACAAGGCTCGACCGTACGGCAGAAACAAAGACCTCCAACAATATAGCTTCTTCCCTACCCTCAGGCGCAACTACTCTTCGCATAGCCATCTCAACAAAACCTCCCTTTAACGCAGATTTTGAACTTGCGCTAGAGGAGTAGTCGTACAGAAGATAGCCGGATAACAGCTCCCTGCCCTCAGGCACAACTGCTCTTCGCAAGGCCGTCTTACCAGAACCTCCCTTTAACGCAAACTTTAAGCTTGCGCTAAAGGAGTGGTCGTACAGGAGTGGTCGTACAGGAATAGTCGTACAAGAAATAGCCGGATAGCAGCTACCAATTCTTCAACTAATCAATCTTCTTATATAAAACATACCCAACCAATAAAATTCTAATCTCGGAGGTCGCAGTCGAAAGGATAAAATATTCGAATAAATTATCCCGGGCCGGCCCGCGCCCTATTAGCGACAACTAGAATCGTATCGACTACGATATTAAAACTACACGGAGGCTTAACGGAGTTCTCATCCTCAATTTTTATATTATAAGTAGCGAGGCACTTAATATTAACCTAATCGCTCTATAACGAACTAAAGTCCTCCTCTTTTTAATCCTAGAATAACGAAAGTTCCGATTAATATTATAGAACGGCTTCGGCCTTTTTAAAAACAGCGCAATCGTATTACTTTACTTTTCGAAATCGGCCAGCTAATAGGGCCCTGCTAGACGGGCACTAGTCCTTTGGCTCGACGGGCACTAATACCCCTGGGGGTTAGGGTACTCTATATGTAAATATCAGGGTGTATTTTTAGTAATACAGTCCATAGTGTTGATAGCTATATAAAAGACGGGTCGTGCCCGCAAGCCGCCTAGCCCGCCTAGACCCAGCCGTACGTACGTACCTCCCTTTTTCTAATATATTACTAATATTATTATGGCTAGTTAATAAAGATTATAGAATCAATTAAGATATTGCACTCGATAGAAATCTCTATACAAATTAATGTATATTAATTCTAGACTATTTTGAACAGTATTTATAGATAATGGGCTATGGTATTAAAGTGCGCTAGCGGTTATTCGAGTGTATTAGAGGTCTGGAGTATACTAGAGGCTTAGAGTATTCTAGGGGATTTATATATATAATAATAAATAAATTACTAGAATTTCGTTTTTGAGCCCTCTTATTTATAGACCTAGTGCTTTAGTAGTCGGCTTAGAGATTCTATTACTCCTTGTCCTCTTTAGAGCCCGGGTTAGCTCCGAGGTAAACGAACGTATTGTAGTAGCCTTCTTGCGAGCGGGCGGTTCGTTTTTATCGGAGGAGGAAGTAAATGGATCGTTTGATTCTCTTCCCTTATCCTCCTCTCCTCCCTTGTCCTCCTTTCCTCCCTTATCCTCTTTTTTGTCCCTATTAATTGCCTCCTCCTCGTTGTTATTCCCAAATGCTAGAGGGTCGGTTGAGCTTAACAACTGGCTATTTAATTCGTTTTCGGCCCTCTCCGCTATAGAAGAACGTATTGTAGTACGTTGATTGCGTGTAGGGAGTTCTTCATTACCGGAATCCTCCTCGTCCTCTTCATTTAATTCCTATTAGAGAAGTAGCGCCGTATATTTTGTTTTAATTATGGGGTGTTACCCTTTAGTAGAGGTAGCTTCGTTATAGCCTTCTCTTTACCCTTTTATTTACCCCCTTTCTTTATAGCCTTCTCTTTTTATTTACCTTTCTTTATAGACTTCTCTTTACCCTTCTTTATTTTCTTGGTCTTTTTGGGAGTAAGGGGGATGGCGTACTTTATTGGTATAGTAACCGCGGTATTTGCTTTAGGGCGGCCTCGAAGTCGCTTAATAATTTAGATATATAGGTCGTCTTTATCAAAGAATTTCTAGAGGTACTAATATTTATAAATATAGCTAAGCCGAAGCGGTAGATCGGTTTCGAGGAGGCTATAAATATTATAGCGGTAAGGGATATTATATTATTGAATAGTATTATAATTGTTTACTTTAAAATAGTAGAAATTCGTGTTAGGGTTTTCCTTCTTTCGATCGAAGGCGATTTAGATATATCAATACTCGTAAATAAGAAGGTTTAAATATTTGTAAGAAACTTTTATTATTATAATTCTTATTTACGGTCGGCCTATAAAGGTATTTTTAATTCTGGTTTCTTCGTTAGCTATTTTGTATTCCTAACCCTTCTTTTATTTAGTAATTATTTTTTTGGATAGTAGCAACTAGATTATAGAAGTTTGAACGGCTTGTAAGGATAAAGTTTTTAATATTTATATTAATTAATTCGGTAGGGGAGGTAACGATAATATTGAAGTTGAAATATTTGTTAATAAAATAGCGTGCCTATTATTGTCTGATAGGCATTTAGACCTTCTAGAGGTGATGTAGAATTAAAAGTTGATTTGAGAATTCCTCCTTGAATGCTTACTAAATATCCTAGAGTTTTACTTTAATTTTTGAAGATATAATGACCTTCTATATTTCGAATATACCTATTAGGGTATAGGGGGTAGCCTTTTTGACGGGATTATTATTATTGTGATAATTACTTATAATTTGAGTGGCCTTTAAACGGGTAGTACGTAATTTTATTTAATTTATTATATTAAAGTTAATATTTTTTCCCTCCTCCTTATTTAATAAGAATTCCTTATTATTAGAGTTATCTTCGTCTTTCTTTCCCCTCTGCTTCTTTTTACTATTGGATAGTACGTTTTTATACATATAAAATATATAGAGTTATTATTGGACGTTAGGGAATACTTCTAATATAGTTAATTTTATTTCTTTATTATAATTAATAAGAATAATATTAGGCTTAGGGATTTTATAGCGCTAGCGTAAATTTTAGATACTTTGTAATAAGAAGATAAAGGCCTTTTTTCTTTTATTATTAATAAAGCTAAAAATAGAATTGAATATTATATTTACGTTAATTATATTAGTGATTTGTATAAAGGGGAACTATAAACGGTTAGTTGAATACGTATTATTTATATTTATAATTTCTACGTAGTACTTTATTATTTCTATCGTAATATTTAATCTCTATACGAAAATAACAAACCGCTTATCCCTATCGTAGATAGTTTATAGAATTTTATTCTTATTAAAATTTTGAATAAGAATGGCGGTCAGTTTATAGCTATCGAAAAATTCGGTACGTAGTCGAATCCTTACATTATATATATCCTTCCTCGTAAAGAATGTATTTAGGAATTATTCGTCAATTATAGCACTAATTTCTTTTAGCTCTAATAGTACTATAGCGGGAGGTAGTTTCGATAATTTTACGTATTTCGTTCGTAAGCTTTATTTTATAAATTTAGGGATAGGCAATACGGTAAGAAAGTAGGTAATTATAGGCTTAATAAACTTTATTTCTATTTATTCGAAATATTTCATCATAGTCTTTATTCTTTTTAATAAAAGTACGCTAATTGTAATCATATTTACGGTTAATAATTTTACGCAAATTATTTAATTTAAATAGGCGCGGCTTACTATATTAATTATAAAATAATTTGTATCGAATATATTTACTATCGACCTTAATCTTCCTATTGCAACGGATAATTACTTGGCCGTATAGACTAGTAAATTCATTGATTTGATTTTAATACTTTTAAATAGTTTTGTAGCCGTTTGTGATACCGTTGGGGGGATTTTCGAATTTATAAACCTATCCTTCGTTTTATTATTTATAGTATTTATTATTATCGTTAAATCGAGGGCGCTTAAGACTAAGAGCTTGAGAAAATTCGGTAGGAGTTTGGGAAGATTCGGTAAGAGCCTGGGAAAATTCGGTAGAAGTTTAGAGAGATTCGGAGGCTTTGTCGGGAAGTGGGCGCGCACGTATAGGCTTAGGAGGGAGATTGTGAAGGTTAGGGAATTCCTTATTATCGCTATTATTATCGCTTGAATCGTTAAACGAAATTATAATCGCTATAAATAGTTAGCTTATAGAATTAATTATACGCTAGCGATTTAATTAATCTTATTAGCGATTCATTTCGTTGATATTTGGCGATGGAGGCTATCTTGAAAGGGTAGAAATTTAAAATCGCTAAATTTATATATTTGGTACGTACAATTGGGTTTGGGCGGCTAGTTGGGCTAGGCGGCTGGTTGGGCGGCTGGCGGGCACGACTTATATTTTTACGACTATTAATACTATAAGCGGTATTACGAAATTATATGGCCCAAATTCTGACCATAGAGAACTCTAACCCCTAGGGGTATTAGTGCCCGTCGAGCCAAAGGACTAGTGCCCGTCTAGTAGGGCCCAGCTAATATTATACCGTAAGAAGAAGGGCCCGCAATCAAAATACCCTTAAATTCCTACATTTAATTAGACTTCTTCTCGTAACCTCTTACTTTATAAGGAAGAATAATTCGTTTCGTCGTTAAATATATAGTCGAAAATTTTCTCGACAATATAAATAAACATTATACTCTAATCGAAGGGGGGGAATTAATTTCAATTTAAAAAGGTTATAAACACCCCATTCCGCAATTACTTTTTATTATTAAAAGTCGCTATAAGTATTATATATTTTACAGACTTTTTATTATGAAATTATTTCGGGGGGTACTAGAATTAGAAAAAGGCCGGCCACGCTTTTTAATTTTCTATATTATAACGGAAACTTCCAAAATCTTCTCCCGGCTATTAATTTTTATAAAGTACTCCTTAAATTTTTTATATTGCGTAAATATAAATAAATATATTATCGCACCACAATTTAAATAGGAAAATTAATAGTAGGATATAAGTATCGTTGAATTTAAATTCCTATAATCCTTTTAATTCCTAATAATTTCGACTTTAGCGTTTATATTAATTAATTACGCTACGTAGTATATGTATTGCGCTTTAATCGAAGCGGGGGAATTAATTTCAATTTAAAAAGGTTATAAACGCTTTATCCTACGATTATTTCTCACTATTCGATATCGGAGGTAGCCTCCTCATTATTAAAAGCCGATAAGTTATAAAGTTTACTTTAAAGTATCTTTAAACTCCTAAATTTAAACTTCTTCTTATAACCTTCCTACTTTACGAGAAAAAATAGCCCTCGTCGCCAAGGGTTAATAAGTTATAGAAAATTAAACGTCGGAGAAAATTATAAATACATTATCCTATAATTATTTCTTACTCTTCGAAATAACCGAACGAGCGTTAAATTCAATATTAGGGGCGGCTTCCTCATTTTAAGAGCCGATAGGTTATAAAAGATTAGAATATATTATCGCACTATAATTTAAGCTCCTACTAACTCCTAACAATTTCGATCTTAGCTTTATACTATTAGGTTTAATTTACAACGAAGGTAGTTTGCAATAAGGGCGGGACGCAATACAACAGCTACTAATAATACCTAAAGTTAGTACCCCACTTTTTAACGCGCTTAGGCTAATATTCCCGCTATATCGGTCGCTATATAATATTAATAATAACGAATATTAAAGAAATAAACAAAGGGGAAATATAAAATTACAATAATTAATAATTAATTGATAAGGCTAGTACTGAGGATATTATATAATAATCTTTTTAGGTAGTTTGGTTTTTTTAGGGTAGAGGGGGGAGGGTTTTAATAAGCTGCTGGATACTATGGGTATTATATAATATATAAATATAGGAAATAATCATACTAATCAAAGTAGACTTTGAAATATATATATACTTAAATATATATAGTATTAAAATCCAGGGTGGTTAAAGAAGGTATAAGTATACGGCTACGTCTAGGGCGAGGCGGAGTAATATTATCGGCAATATTATCGTTATAATAAATAACCTGGCGATTGCTATATTAGTAGGAACGACGAAATATAGGGGGGGTAGTCTATATAATAGAATTTAAAGACTTAATACCCCGGGAATTACGGCCTTTACCCTTACCCTTACCCTTATTGCAGCCACGGGGGTAGCGAGGATTAATAATAGAATTATTATTATTATTGTCTTTATCCATATTAGTACTCAGGCCCTAATTGACTAGAACCTAACGTTATTTCTGCTTACTAAGGGGGCGGCCTAATTATTGGATTTCATAGCGTAAACCCGATAATAACTATAACTAAAACGAGGGCTACAACTAAAACGATGGCTGGAACTAAAACTATAACTAGAACTAAGGCTATAACTGGAACTAAGGCTATAACTACGATTCCAATTGTACCCGCAATCGTTATATCTCTTATTCCATCTATTAAACCTATATCAGAGTCACAAAACCAATAGCAGCAATATTACCGCCTTATCCATAACGACTATAGGGTATCGGTAAGGATCAAAAAGGCTCGGGAAAGGGGGAAAATTAACGAGTCTTTTTCGGACTACTAATACCACCGCTACTACTAAATATCCTATTAACTATATTAAATATAGCAGGCTACTATCTACCTACGTTAGAATAAGTATTAGGCTTCTTCGGGGGGGGCCTTTTCCCTAATAATCGAATATTTGAATATTATACTAATTTAAGCAACCTTCTTTAGCTTCTTAACTACAACCTCCAATGATTTTATAACAAAATCAACCTTATCAATATACTTAAAC